GCCCACGAGGCCCGCCCGCGGAGGAGGGAGGTGTCCACGAGGACCGCCTGCACAGGAGGGAGGTGCCCACGAGGCCCGCCCGCGGAGGAGGGAGGTGCCCACGAGGCCCGCCTGCAGAGGAGGGAGGTGCCCACGAGGACCGCCTGCACAGGAGGGAGGCATTAGCAACGAGTGTGCTCACCCAGGTATCCAGGGCAGGGACAGCAGCATGTGGCAAGCCACCCCTCGTTGTCAGCCACTGTTACACAAGCAAGGCGCCTTTCCTTGAGTCTCAGAATCCCTCTTAACACAGCACTCATGGCGAGCGACTACTGGAGTTACTTGCAACTCCCACTGTGCACCTGTGGGTCTGGGTGTACTTTCCCCAGGCCTCTGGCCTAGACTAGGTAGCTGGGAAGTGACTCATGGGACGGGCCTGGCTGAGTGGCTCTAGAAACTATCTCAGGGCCTCCCAGGTGACTGGCCCCGAACTACAGTGTTGTGGAAACGCAGACGGGGTGGAACTGCCCTCTGCCCACTCGCCGCACACCTGACGCTCGTGTGGACCCTTCCTCCCCACTTCCAGCTTACCCAGATTGTCACTATGACCAGGCTGCATCCAAGGAGGCGGGCCTCCCGGGACCACTTGCCAGGGCCGCACAGAACCGCCTGGGCCTTCTGCCTAGGGGACCCACTGCCCTCGGAAATGTCAGGCCTTCGTAAGGGCTGTCTGGGGCCACTGCCCCGGCTCAGGGGCGTCCAGCTTACCCAGGTAGTAGAGGCGGTGTGAGTGGGGGCCCGACTCGTCTGTCTTCTGCACAAACTGGAAGTCGTGGGGCGCCTTGTTGACGATGAGGCCCGAGTATTTGCGGCTGCCGTGAATGATGTTTCGGAGCCCCTCCCACGAGTGCTTCTGCACCTGGAAGCGGGATCCCGGCTCCTCCATCTCCACGGTGTCGCCCCGTTCCGACGGTGCATCCGCCGTGGCCATCCTTGCCGCCCCTTCGGAATTCAGCGAGAAACTATGAGGAGGAGGGGAGCGGGCAGGAAGACGGTGAGAAGGGAGCACCGTACCCGAGGTCCCTCACCAGACCTGCCCTGTCAACCATCACCAAGCCCCGCTGGCCCCACTCAAGATGTTTCGGGAATCTCTGCGCTTCTCTCCAACACCCCTTCTAAGGTCCGACCCACTGCCACCTGTTGTCTGAATGATTGCAACCGCCGCCTAAGTGGGCTCCCCACATCCCTTGCAAATTTGGTTCCATCACACAAAATCTCCCCTCGGCGTCCCAGATCCCCCGGATAAAAGCCTGAGTCTGCCGGGTCCCTGCCAAGTTCTCAAACCTCATCTCCCTGATCACGGTGCCCCAGTCATGCTGGCTTCGCAAGACTCCTCCAGCAGGCCATGTTCCTTCCTGCCCCAGGGCCTTTACACACACTGTCCCTTCTGTGGGCAACAGCACTCTCTCGCTCTCTTTGTTTGACAGACTTCTAATCTGATCTCAGCCTAAACACCAGGTCCTCAGAAACCTTCTACAGCCATCCACACTGAAACTGGTCTCCCCATTATCTTTCATGTTAAAAAAAAAAAAAAAAATTTTGCCACTGAATTGACTTGACTCACAGTGACCCCATGTGTGTCAGAGTTGAACTGTGCTCCATAGGGTTTTCAATGGCTGATTTTACAGAAACGGATTGCCAGACCTTTCTTCCAAGATGCCTCTGAGTGCACTTGAACCTTCAACCTTCTGGTGAGCAGCTGAGCGCGCACACTGTCTGCACCACCCAGGGGCTCTGCCTTTCACATACACCTGGGTGTTTACCCCTCCTTCGACATCTTCACTGGGACGCTGAGTACTTGTTTAACGTCCATCGTCCCTGTGTCTGTCTCAAGTGAGGTTGAGTCCCCAAGGCCTGACGGGGCGCTGGGTGCACAGTGGGCATTCCCCAGACAGCTGGGGCCGGAAGGACACCTGCAGAGAAACACACTCGCCCTCATAACGAAGCCCTGCTGTGCGCTGGGAACTAGCGACCGAACCCTGTCCCTCCTGCTGTTACTCCTGCGGCCTACTGTCCCGCAGGGTGAGACTCCTGGGTGTGCGTTGGAGGTGCTCAGGGAAATAGGACACCACCATCAGGGCTGTTACAAAGGCGGTAAGAGGACCAAGGCACGCACGGCCCCCCAGGGCGTCCCCTCCCACACGGAGGCGCCCCTTGCTGCCACTGGCAGGTCTGGCTAGGTCAGTGTTTGTTTAGAGAAATCCAAACACGGCCACGGTGCCCCAGTTCTAGAAGGGCTCGAGAGGCCCCGCGAGTGAGGAAAACAGCGCGGTGAGGAAAACGAAACCGGGCCATCCTGGCTGTCCTCAGCGCACGCCGAGGGGCCCAGGCCCAGCTGGGAGCCATGAGCCCGGGCGCCGCCTTCTCGTCCTCTGGGATGGCTGGCTTGGCTCAATGCAGGGAGAAGGAGTGTAACCTGCCTCTCAACAGTTAGGCGCTCGACTACTCGCTGAAAGGCTGGCAGTTCAAACCCATCCAGAGGCACCACGGAAGAAAGGCCTGGCGATCTGCTGCCGAGAAATCAGCCGCTGAAAACCCTATGGAGCACAGTTCTACTCTGCACACATGGGGCCACCATGAGTCAGAGTCGACTCCATGGCAACTTACAAAAGCGACCCCACCCATGGGACAGGGCAGCGTGGACAGAGAGGATCAGAGAAATGAAGGGCTGAACTGGGTGGTTCCGCTTGACTCTGATGCAGAAGACTTTGTCCCTTGCCAGCAAGAGATCCCCCGCCAGAGCAAACGCCACAGGAAAAGGACATCAGCTGGCTTCAAGAGGCAAAAGGGAAGAGGCACAAGAGCGTGGCTGAGCGCCTTCGAAAATCAGGCCCCGCAGACGTCACTGCACCTGGACCACCCAGCGAGGTGTGACCCTCCACTGTGGGGAGGAAATTGAGGCCAAAAGGGCAGAGGGGCCGTGCCCGCCAGCGCCCAGAGAAGGAAGAAAGGGGTTTCGTTAGGGCGACCTGACTCCCAGCTGCCCCCCAAGGTGCCATGTGAAGAGTGGGACACAGATCGTAAACCCCTTTCACTCCCGGGACTCCGGCCTCACCCCGCACAGCAGCGGGTCCTGGGGGCCAAGCCATAAGACCAGGACAAGCCTCACTGCAGCCTTGGAGGGCTCTGTCCTATGGGAAGGCCAGGGGTGGGGGCACATCTCAGGCAGGGAGAGCAGAGCCCCCCCAGCCGAGGGGTGCACGGCACACAGCCCCTTTGGAAGGGGATTTCTGAGGCCCGCCACTGCGGGTTTCAGAGGTTGCTTTCCAACTCCGCCCCCTAACCAATGAAAGGAGAAGTGGTTTCCCCTGGCTTGGTTCTAGGGAGGCACAAACAGTTAACACACTCAGCTGGTAACTGGAAGGTTGGCGGTTCAAGTCCACCCAGAGGTGCCTTGAAAGAAAGGCCTGGCGATCTACTTCTGAAAAATCAGCCACTGAAAACCCTATGGAGTACAGTTCTACTGTGATACACGTGGGGTCGCCGTGAGTCGGCGTCAACCTGGTGGCAACTGCTTTGGTGTTTGGTTCTTTTTTGGAGCTTGGTCCCGTGTTCTCCATTGCAGAGCCTGGTGAGGAGCAAGCGGGCATGTCCCTCCTGCCCTCCAGCCCAGAAGGAGCACGGTGTGTCCAGCTCCTCTAGGGATGGCTTTGAAGACATGGACCAGAGGGCTGCAGGGCTGTCAGGGCCCTGAGGCCATATGGGCCACGTCCAGGGGGGACAAGGGACTTGCCGACGGCCACATGCTATGCTCCCAGGCCTGTGCAGAGCTGGGCACCGGGGGCCGCCGAGCGCTGGGGGCTACTGGGCAGGGTTAACCAGATGCCAGACTGGAACTGGCAAGGGCTCAGGACCCCACCCACCCATAGCACTGCTGACAGCAAGCCCAGAACATGGGGCTGGGAAGCCTCTGACCAGCCAGAGCCCCTCCTCCCACTCTGCCCCCTGCCCATTCAAGTCCTGCACACGGCAGGAAAGCAGACGTGAACTACGGAACTCCCGCCGTCTGAGAGCCTGCTGGGCCACTGACGGAGTCACGGGGCCTGTTTATTTCCATGCAGACCCTGGGTGGGGCACATGGTTAAGCACCCAACTATCGGCTGAAAGGTTAGCAGTTCAAACGCGCCCTGAGGAGCCTTGGAAGACAGGCCTGGTGATCTGCTTCTGAAAAGTTGCAGCCTTGAAAACCCTACGGAGCACTTCTACTCTGCACTCGTGGGGTCGCCAGCAGTCAGAATCAACCCGACGGCATTCAAGAACACGTTTATTTCATCGCAAAGAACAGTAAAAACGACCTTGCCTCTGATCACTGCCGCTTGCACAGGGAGCAAAAATACAGTCCAGGAGATGAGAAATGAAAGGAAACATTGGGAGAAGCTTCAGGGAACCTTCTAGATCGGCCAGGTCTCCAAGCCAGGCAGCTCGAGTTCCCGGATGGGGTAAAGCTGGGTGTTCTTCTAGCCCTCTCGCATGCTGCTCTCCTGTCCAGGAGCAAAGACCTGACCACAAAGAGGGTGGGAAGGGGCACAGGTGGGAGGAAGGTGGTTCTTATGTCCCCAAAGGGCCATTTCCCCGCCCAGCCCTGGGCTGGGGTTCTCCAGTCAAGAGTTGACAAAGCTGGGAAGAGAGCAGATTCCAAGCCACTTAACTCAAGGCTACTTATACGCCTGCCAATGGGTAGGACGCCCTGGAAGCCCGTGACGTGCCCAGCGAACAACTCCAACCTTCTGAAGGCAGATCAGATTTCTGTGACCTCTGTCTGGGGCATCAAGAGTGGGGAACCATGTGTCCCCTTGGCTTCCGTTAGAGACCCAGTCAGGTCCGTCATGGGGGACAGAGGGAAGGCAAGGAAGAATCGAGGAATCCCGGCATCGGCCACTCCCCTCAGAGTTCAGTCGACCACAGAGAGATAAGGCGGGAAGGAGGGTGGAAGCTCGGAGGCTGCTCATCAGGCGCTAGGCAAAGATGTGTGTGTGTATGATGGGGGACCTACTCTGTGTGTGTGTGTGTGTGTGTGTGTGTGTGTGTGTGTGTGTGTGAGGGGCTGGAGGAACCTACTGTGTGTGTGTGTATGTGTGTGTGTGTGAGGGGCTGGAGGAACCTACTGTGTGTGTGTGTGTGTGTGTGTGTGTGTGTGGTGGGGTAACCTACCGTGTGTGGTGGTATACCATATGTGTGTGTGTGCATGTGGGGGGAACCTATTCTGTGTGTGTGTGTGTGAGGGGGTGGGGGAACCTACTGTGTGTGTGTGTGTGTGAATGGGTATGTGCGTGCATGTACGTGAGGGAACACCTCACGGGGGTCCCTAGGACTGGGCTCTGGAGCTGCGGCCCTGAGTGGGGGTTCCCAAGCACACGGCACAGCATCCTCCACCCAACAAGGGGCGCCCCTGCCGTCACCTGGGCCTTGCACTCTCACGGCCAGCTTTTGCAGAGTCTGAGCCCCCGGTTGGCACAAACGATTAAGTCCTCAGCTGCTAACCGAAAGGGTGGCAGTTCAAGTCCGCCCAGAGGCACCTCAGAAGAAAGGCCTAGTGACACTTCCGAAAACTCAGCCACTGACAACCCTCTGGAGCACCGTTCTATTCTGACACGTGGGGTCCCCAGGAGTCAGGTGCGCTGGTTTTACAGTCAGTTCACAGCCCACGCTCACCCAGGCCCTGGGCTGTGTGCCGGTGAGGGAAGGCAGGCTGCTCACCACCAGGAACTGTCCACAGGGCCCGGGAGGCCGCCTGCTGTCAGATCCGGCGCCCAGGGAATCGCCGTGCCTGGGGAATCCCTGTCGTCGCAGACCGTGGTTCCCTCCCTGTCTCCCGAGCGCCTGTTCTCACTAAAAGCAGAGGAGCCTAAGAGTACTAGCAAGCGACACCGAGCCGTTCACGCGGTCGAGGGATTCCTGGGGGCCTCCATCTCACGCCAGCACTGACTGCCGCCCTGTGCTGTTCACACAGACTGTTCAGTCCTCACCGTGACCCTGGCAGCTGGTTCTAGGAGCAGCCCGGTCTTGGAAACCGAAACACGGGCTCAGGGAGGTTGACTGAGCCACCCAGCGGCACCCAGAGAGGGAGAGGAGCCGAGCCCAGGTCTGCTGGACACCAAAACCCTTAGTGTCCTAGCCGAGCCCAGGTCTGCTGGACACCAAAACCCTTAGTGTCCTAGCCGAGCCCAGGTCTGCTGGACACCAAAACCCTTAGTGTCCTAGCCACTAAGCCAAGGAATCCCTGGGTGGTGCAAACGGTTAAGCACTTGACTACTAGCCAAAGAGTTGGTGGTTCAAAACCATCCAGAGGCGCCTCCGAAGAAAGGCCTGGCCATCTACTTCTGAAAAAATCAGCCACTGAAAATCCTGTGGAGCACAGTTCTACTCTTGACACACGTGGGGCAGCCATGAGGCAGAATCGACTCGACAGGAGCTAACAACCACCACGAAACAGGCCTACTCACTCGTCCAGTGGCGCTCAGCCAGGGCCGATTCTGCCCCCCAGCGGACACTCAGCAATGTCCGCAGACATTTATGGCTGTCACAGCTGGGGGTGAGGGATGCTACTGAAACCAAGTAGGTGGAGGCCAGGGATGCTGCTCAACATCCTACAGTGCCCAGGAGGCCCCACCTGGTGACCCCACAGATGACAGCTCCGGGCGGGGACCCCGACCCTGCCTCCTACCTTCTCCAATGCCCTGTGTTCCCGGTGTCCAGGCGCAGCTTCTTAACCTTCCGCATGAACCAGCTGGCGGCCTTCGGCAGGGTGGGGGCCTGCGAGGAAGAGGGCGAGCCATGCGGCTGCAACCTGGGGCCCAAGCTCTCCGCCGCCTCCCATTTCTTGGGGCAGCCGCCGGGAACGCCCCGATGCTGAGGCGGCTGGTCCAGGCCCTGCCCTGAAACGCGAGAGGGTGCCCAGCATTTGCCAGAAACCCGCATCTTTTTCTCTGAGCCGTTCTCCCAAGGTGAAAAGTCCCCAGGGGAGGGGGGTTTCAGGTGACTCTAGGGACATCATCTGCAGGGCGTGCCCCGGAATCAGAGAACTCCAAATCCCTCACCAGGCCAGGTCCCTGACGGCCTTGCCACCCTCACCTTCTCCCCCTGCCCTGGACCACTGGGTTCCTTCCTCTTCCCAAAACACACACACATGCTCTCCCACCCCAGGGCCTTTGTACTTGCCGTCCCTCAGCCTGGGACACCCTTTCCCTGCTTTTGGTGTCACCTGCTCTCTCCTTCAAGTCCCCATATCACCTCTTCAGAGGTCTTCCCTGAACACGCAATCAACGGGGCTACCTCGTCACTCCCGTCACAGAACCTGATCTTTCTGCACAATATTCAGTCTGGGGCAACGGCACTCAACCAGGGACAACTCTGCTCCCCAGGGGACACTGGGCAAGGCTGGGAAACATCTGTGGTTGTCCTGATGGGCGAGGGGGTGCTACAGGCATTGAGTGGGTGGTGGCCAGGAATGCCGTTAAACACCCTACAGTGCACAGGAGGCCCCTTGCCAAAGATGATCTGGCCACGAGCGTCCACAGTGCCAAAGGCGAGACACCCTGAATTAATCACTTGTGAAAAAATTGAGTTTGGTCCCTGCTCACACCATATACAAGAATAAACTCCTGCTGGGTCAGACGGTGTAAACCAGGGGGACCCTCCAGCTCCTGTGACTTCCCCCTCCTCCTCCCCACTCAGTGTGTGGATTTAAATGTGGGCAGTGTCCTAGGATTCAGTAGGTCAGATGATTACGGGACACAGAGTCTCTTGGGGGTCAGTGGAATCCCCTAACCCAGGGGTTCTCATCCGGGTGATTCAGCCCCCAGGGGACCCGGGGCGATGTCTCGGGACATTTATGGGTATCACAACTGGGGGGTGCTACTGCCAGCGAGTGGGTGGAGACAGGGATGCTGCTCAACACACTACAGTGTACAGGACGGCCCACCCCAGAGGACAATCCAGCCCCTGTCAGCAGTGCGGAAGGGGAGAGACCCTGCTCTAGGCAAGTAAGCCCACCTCGCTGGAACATCGGCTCCACAGGAACAGGGTCAAATCTGTCCTGCACCCAGACTGTGCCTGGCACACGGATGGTCCTCAACAAACTGCTCAGCTTGAATGGCTGAGTCAGTGTTCACTCTTGAATGCAGCCTAACGCTAAAGGGACCATGGCTTAGTCGGAGCCCAACTACCTTTCCAATAGGCCCAGCCCATTTAAAGAAAGAGGTCCCTGGCTGCAAGACAGAGATCATAATGGCAAAGGGGACACAAAATGTCACCACAAAGCAGCACTCCTGGGCTGTGTAACTGTGGGGAAGCCACTTAACCTCTCTGGGCCTCAGTTTTCCCAGCTATGAAATGAGACTCTGGTACCTATGCCTAGCGCTATGGTGTGGATGATGTACATAACGCTTTTGTAACCCTGTGCTGGACATATCATAAACTAAATTGCAACTCATGCCGTCAACGAAACAGGCTATTTAAAATCACACGAAGGAGAGACCTGGGCTCCAGCCCCTTTCAGAGCCAGAATCCAAACCACTTGCTGGTTAAGTGCCAGGTGCTACGTTAGGTGCCAGGGACACAGCCACACCTCCCTGAAGCCCTGGTGTGACTGGCACTCTCCCCTTTCTCCCCCTGAGGACTTCAGAGGATTCTTCCCAGGGGCAGCTGGAGGGGCACACTGGGTGGGAAGTGAAGCCTCCAGCAAGCACACAGAAAGCCGCAGCCACCACCTGGGTCTGAGCCAACTGCCCCTGAGGGCAGTGCCCCAGGACCACAGAAAACCATTTCTGCTGGTGGTGCAGCGGTCAAGGGCTCAGCTGCTAACCAAAAGGTCGGCAGTTGGAATCCACCAGCTGCTCCCTGGAAATCCTATGGGGGCAGTTCTACTGTCCTATAGGGTCGCTATGAGTCGGAATCGACTCAATAACAATGGGCTTTTCTATGTCCCAGAAGAGTTCCCGGGTGGTACAAATGGCTAACATGCTCGGCTGCTAGCCAAAAGGTTGGCAGTTCAAGTCTACCCAGAGGTGCCTCGGAAGAAAAGTCTGATGATCTACTTCCCAAAAACCAGTCACTGAAAACCCTGTGGAGCACAGTGCTTCTCTGTCACATAGAGGATCGCCATAAGTCAGAGTCGACTCATGTCCTAGAACAGGCAAATGAACCCCACCAGCCCACACCCCGCCCTTCCGGGCTACCCAACCCCAGCCCAGCTGACCTTCTAAAGGGCCCAGGTAGCCTCCATTCCAGCTGCAGGCATGGGACAGCGACCTTGATGAAACAAATGTGTCATTAACACGGGGGCTGGAGGGGCCAGCTAGCCATTTGCTTTCTCCCACTTGGGCCCGTCAGGGCTAATTCTCCCTCTGGGGATAGATGGGAGTCTCAAAGCCCTGCACTGCTGTCTTCACCGCCTGGGCTGCCCATGGGACAAAAGCCTTCCCACAAGGCCCAGTCCCCCCAGGGGCCAGCCAGGGACTCCAGGGATTGGTGACTCCAGTTCACACCCCCTGGGCCTTCGTCCCAGCTACTGGAAAGCAGGTTCGTTCCTGCCGCTGAGCCAGACCCCGGCTCTCCCATGGGGTGGGTGTGCTTGCACGGGAAGGGGGAACAGGGCGGGACCTCCAGGGCCTGCAGGGAAGTGGGGGTCAAGGTCTGAAGCGAGCACAGCGTCTTGGGTGCGGCCACCTCGCGAAGGGGTCAGAGCCTGCTAGGTGACAGGCTCGGGCACCCGCAGGAAAGGTGGCGGGGCCGGACCGAGAAGGCGAGCGGCTAAGCGATGGCCCAGCGGAGGGGAAACTGAGGCTGGGCGCAGGAGGGGCCGGGAGGCCGGCCAAAGGCCAGTCCGGTCCGGGGATCGGGGAGGGCACCCGGGAAGGCGGGCGGTGGCGGGTCCACGGCCCGGCCGAGGCGGGACGGGGCGGGCGGGCGCTGCTCACCGG